ACCGCCCCATATGTGATTATCGGTCTTACTATCATGGTGTACAACCATCTAACTATTCTAGGCGTTAAACCCCAGGACCTTCCTGCCAGGCGATTACACACCATTAAGGCCCTTGTCGCCTTGACCAACGTCAGGTTTACGTGCTGCTTCCACCTCAGCGTGGAGTCTAACGTTAAACCGAGGTACTTAACACTGCAAAAAATGGTCATATATAGTAATGCTTTTGTATACATTTAAATAAAGACCGTCGGAAGTCGGAGTTTCGGAACATCAGGTTATGGTTCCAGTCCTAAAACGACTGCGTAAAATAAGTTTATTTTTCGGTAAAATGTTCAATTGATTGTTTAATTATAATAGTTGGTGTTTTGAGAATCGAGCCGCTAGACGCGGAGAAATATGACTCGTGATAATTATAAATATGGGCTATATCGATTAACAACGATTTGGAGTATGCTGTCTTCACGAAAGTGCACCCCACAGATGAGATAAAGCTCCGGGAAATTTTTGGCCAAAATCATCAGGAGTCGTCACGTTGGCGATAGCAACAGTGTACGTGAAGTTTGGTTAAAATTGGAATCGACGTTTCAGGTTAAAGATAGAACTAGAAAAGCGACGTTACTTACCATTTGTTGTATATATGTATGTATGTACTACTTACTAACGTGTAGCATGTGCGAAGGCTAGAAAGTTCAAGAGCATCTCAACGCATTCAACGAGAATACAAACATTTTGAAATAGTCAAGTAAATAAATGACGAATTAAGTTCAGAACACAATTGTTCGACAAAGATAAATGGTGATAGTAATGTGACCAGTGACTATAAAATTACATATATTGGAATCCGAACGAATTAGTAATTTGTATAATATATAAACAAACTAAAAAACTAGTGGACTGTAAACATTTTGCCCTTGAAAAGCAAGTGCGCATATTTTTCACTAAATCAGACGGAAATAGGGCTGATTTACTTGAGATTGTTACAGTGTGGCTGAATGAGGAGTGCAAATATTTTGTTACATTTGCAAAAAATATGTATTGAAAGTTAAAATATTTACGTTAGAGAAAATTAAAACGTAAATTTTTAAATGAAATAGTAACACAGAAAATTCGGTAGACGTACCTAATTATGCAAGGATAAAGGTGGATAGGCATCATGACGCAGCGTGGGCGCTTACGAAAATTATAGTATATCAATCGATCTCTGACAACGATTCAAACGTTGTTGATGTAGACGACTTCTACGAATACAACCTCTTGTCACTGACAGTCGTCAAAATGTAGCGGATGCGTTGAGATCCGAATACGCCTCTATGCGGGTAAATGGGCTCATGAGGAAGAGAGCTTGGAAAATAGTTAAAATACCTTCAAAAGTAAAGTAAGACCAACAATTTCATTTTCCCTACTAAAGATGAGCATCTTAAGAAAGTTCGTCTAGTTGCAGAAAGTTACGCTCAACGCTTAGGGGAAGACTTTCATGAAATTTCCTCTCCAGTTACACGGTCAACTTCAATACGCCTTTTTACAGCGCGGAGTGCAGAAGAGGATATCCAGCAACGTCAGAAGGATGTAGTTATCACGTATATTAAATATATTACATCCTTAATCGGGATATAGATAAAGATATCTACATATTTCATATTTGCTTATGAGTTCGTTGAAGGATTTTCATCGTGGGCAACCTGCCGATTTTCAAGATTTGACGAAACATACCAGCGACCGACAGAAGTGTGGCAACCATCATTAAGAAAAGTACTATGAGGTTTGCGTCAGTCAGTCTTAATGTGGTATCATAAAATAAACATGTTAACAAAAAAACAATTTTGTTTTTACCATGGGTTGTATATATTATAAACGAATATGTGGGAAATTGAAAATATTTCCTTTTTAACCAATTGTAAAGATTTGGCCATTTCTGGTTTTCGCACCCATTTAGTGTCGGCCTTCACGTGCGGTTGCCGTCCAGAGAGAGGGAAGAGTACGTACGTTGTGTAGGACAGTATATGTATATTTGCAAATTGAGAAATAATGTGTTTCATACATTCATTTACTCTAAAAACCGGCACATAATGTATACGTATATTTGGTAAAACTCAGAACAAAAAGTTGGCTCCACATGTGTCATGTAACTCTTGCAGATATTCTGGATGGTGAGTTTATTGCAAATTTTATAATAATTACTAACTATTTTGGAAGCATTAATTAGATTTAAATGTTCAGTATACGCCAAACGTTTTGTTGTCGTCGAGCTAAAAAAGAGTACTGAATTTTGCAGTGCCGAGAATTTGTAGGAGCCCAGGTGCTCATTTTTCAAATACTCGAATAATTTTTTTGCAAGTTGGTCTAATTCTAATCAAAAAATATGGAATGTGATATTTTCCCTAAGTTACTTAAAAATGCGTTAATGGTGGTTTTCTAGGAAGTCATGGATCTGACAATTATGATGAATATCTCCATCATCGAATGTATAATTTTTCTAAATATGGACATGGTACATTATCATTTAATAAATTTAAAGAAAATATGGGAGCTTATTCGGAAGAACAAGAAAACTTACATCAAGATATAGTGGAATTTGAAAGACGTTACCAAGGCTAGTATCCTGAAAGTATGATAGTGACTATATTTGGAGGTTAAGAAGGAAAATTTTTACTGAATATGAAGGAAAAATAAAAGTGTTAACTTTTAAATATTTAGAGTATATTAAAATGTCAATGGTAACAATGAATCCTAAATGGGATGACCGGTATCTCTTAATAAATTATATAGTATGTATAACACGTGCCCAAATATGCTGTTGACAACGAAATCTCATCCAAGGCATTATGTTGGTCAATTTTTATCATCCAACAACGACAGATATTGGAAATTACTAATGGGGATAGCTTTTCATCCAAAACTTAAGAAATGCGAAAATACGAGAGGAAGTGTTGTGAATGCGAAATAAATAATAATAATATAATATACATAACATCTACATAAAACTATATGCAATAAATAGTAAGACTTTATTCATATATAATTCTAAAGTTTTTATTGTATTCTTCAAAATATATGCCGTCCCTCTAATTAAACTTGTGTCAACCGGAATAGCTTTCAATGTGGGAAGCGATTCACGTTTAAGGTCTTCAATTGACTTGAAAGGTTGTTTCGGCACGATATTAGTTAAAAAATTTACGAAAAATTCTTGAAGAATCAATACACGACGACGGTGCATTATCGTGGTACAAAAACCAGATATTTCATTCCACACATAAAATTTAATTTAACATCATTGTTGAATAATTTCACTCAACTTAAAAATCGCCGAATACACTTTATGTACCTCAGAAAGACAAGCGTATACTAAAAACTAATGATTATTGTGATGTGAAATTTAGTGAAGATACCAACCTATAAAAAAAAAGAATATTTCGACAAATGGGATTTCTTCTTGTACTTTTTTTCATTTCAGTGTTCATACATTGTAATGCTTTTGAACACTTTTGATTAAGTTCAGTCATTATTATATCCGAGGACTTTACCCACGAAATTTCTACGTCTGCGCTCTATCAGCCCTTATATATAGTACTTATATAACTTACCATTGATACAAGTATATTCCAGTTGTTTTTTTAGAAATGGAAATAGCTAATTACAAGCAGGAGTTAATATACTTACTTATCTTTCTAACTTTCAATATACCAATTTATATAACAAATGAAAAACTTTACGGAAAATATTATAATTTTATTTTATTAATATTAGAGTTTTCCGACAAATACAAAATATGGGATACAAATATATCTGGCATTTATTACTTTCACCCTGAGAAAAAGTGCATGTGTCGTTTGGGACTTCAAATCAAGAATTACATACATATGTATATGTCTGTAAAACTTCATTATTATCTTATTTTTCCAAGCATACATCCAACGCATTGGAATTTCAGGCTGTTTGTTTGGCTTAACAACGGTCATGACTATACATGTACATTAAAATATCGTTAGCTTAGTATGCAAACGTGCTTAATTCATTTATTTTAATATTTTAGGCGAAAAATAAAATTGTGGAAATGAAGCAAAACTTGAGCTCATTGGTATTGGCTTTTGTTCAAACCTAAATTACTTGTTAAAATCATTTAAATTATATATTATTTATTTTTTAACTTCTCACATTTTTGGTAATGATCTGTTTTTAGTTGTGGTATCTGCGTACGAATACAATTCTCAATTTCGATTAAAGTGCAAATAGTAAAATTGTGCGCGTTTGCAAACTAAAGGAACGAAATACATGTTACCTTAAGACAAAAACTTAAATCATGTGAAAACAACGTTTGTATAAAAAAAAATTAATTATATAAATATATATTTGATTTCATATGAGTAAATATATTTAATGTTCATGCTAGGTAGACTTGTGTCCGCTTATATGTAAATATGTGTATATGTATTGTATAAATAAATAAGCAATATTAAATACTATAGAACTCATCTCGCTATCACACAATTATTGTCTTACCGGCCAATAGACAGTTATTGCTGGAGGAATAGCAGAAACGGGATCGCTGTAATGTCTGTGACATTCATGAGCAAGCACATTCGACCACTCGCATGTCTGTCCACGTGGAGATCTTCAGTTTTTCACTGTTTTTCTCGTCCACATGCAATACTTCGAGTTCGACTAGTTTAGAAGGCGCACAACAGGGGCGAGGTGCACGTTCATGATTTTGCTTCCATATTAGACTCTGCAACACGGCGTGATGGTGAGCTGGATTATATCTCGGTGGACAACGGCCATGACAATATCCAGCATCGAATACTTTTGGCTGAATAATGAATTCAAAACCTTTGATTTCCTTGAATATTACTTCCATTGTGTGCCGACAGCAACGTTGATTGAGTTTATGACAAGAAAGTTTGTCAATAGTACTGCTGGGACGTTGTTGGCCATTTGAAAATGTGGCCATGTTATGATAGTGATGTGGATTCTCAACGGAACTGGAATGTTTGTTGGATCTGATTTCCTTGTATGACACGCCAAGATGACCAATTATGTTTAAAATTGGCATTAGTTGTGCACCATCGTCTACATTAGTGGATGACGACATGTCGTTTAATATACGAGCACCAGCACTTTGGCAATTATCACACTGCACTTCAAGACCCAGATTAGACCGCTCCTCGCGTATCCATGCCTCTACAGCTTTTGTGACATCAAACTGCACCCATTGGCTATTAGTATCATGTTTGCGGCTTTGATCTATCTCGATGTTCACTTTAGAGCTATCGAGACACATGCGTTTACCATTTCCCAAACGTTGGTATACCTTGAAATTTAATATATGTTTTTGCTTATCATTGGTCGTCGTGGCGTTAGCATGGTCCATACCACTTTTTTCTACGCTGTTGCCACAAGACCGATTTTTATATTTCTGTTTTTTTTTATTGGGCTTGACTGCTAAAGCCGAGCTGTATATTATCATAAGCCGAATGTTGGCCTCTTCGACATCGCCGGGTTGCAATTGTGCAGCGTTTGTCTCCACAGCAAAATGTAAAATCATAGTAGTTTGTTTTTGCCGAAACTTTCGGTTATTTTTCCGCTGCTGTCGTGGTAATACGAAATTATTAGATACTGCTTCAGCATCGGTTACCTGATCTTTTGTATTCGGAAAGTCCAAAAAAGTTTGAGTGTTCCGTTTTCGACGTAAATAAGTCTCGTACCTCATGACATTCGGAGCAATGCTGACTATACGTAGAGGGGCGCTTTCTAATTCCTGCTTAGCTTTGTTTCCAATAGCATATGTTGATTGAGCTAGCTCTCGTCGCTTACGATCGTGCACCCGCCGTAAATATTCCCGATACTTTGTAACATATTCACGTTGACTTATGTTAATCTAAAATGGTAAAAAATGTATGTTTTAAACATCGCAAAATAGGAGAATTTCTTTAGAATTTTTTCTGCATTTCTGCTTTTGACATGATATTTTAAATACACCCAACTTTTTTTCTACACGGTAGATGCGTTGCTCAGAAATCCGTGTAAAAAAACAGGCGTTGCGTATATGAAAATGGGGGATACCTTCCATGTCACCTGAAAGCGATGTAAGATGATGTAAAGAACTATATTTACTTCGAAAAACCGTGTAAAAATGTTGAAAATTATAAAATTTCAGATATGTATGCATAAAAATTGTTTGTTCATATGGCATTTTATTGAGCATTGAAACTTAAAATACATAAATCATTCAGTTGAAAATTGGTAGAGCAAACAAAAAACAAAAGAATCTATTAATGCAGAATTAAGAACAGAAAAATTAGAATAGAAATAAAGAAAAAACATTACATACTTATTCGTCATCACTTGATAACAAGCACAATTGTTTGCGACGAACTTAACTAAAGTCGGTATCATCACTGAACATATCCATTTTGGCAACGTAAATGTCATGCGAACAAACTGTGTAGGTAAGAGTTATCGAATAAGGGGATTTCCCAGTTACTACTATGTAAATTCATTTCAGCATTGGTGCCAAGGGTGGCAAAAACAAACACAATTACAAGACAGAGATTTTTAAATCATACTACATTACAATTTGGCATGACTACTATCCGTATAACCTAACTTAACTTAAAGAGCAATAACTCAATGAAAAAATATGTATGTCAGAAAAATATAATTTAGTAAATGAGATTTATAAGTTGTGATTAGAAACTAAATTTTTGACGTGGTGGAGCTCATTTTATTTAGATAGATAATGATATCTTACAAAAATATTTTAATGAGTTTGATTTATGGCAATTTCATGATGTTTTATAAGCATAATTTGAAAAAAACTCACATACGAGCACGTCATGTTTCAAAATTCTTAATGTTTTCTTAACCGCCGGTTGATGGACATATCTTAGCCGATGCGTCGAAATCTAATTTAAATGAGTTTGGAATGTTTTATTTAACATAAAGGGATTTAATTTTCTGAAACCATAGAGAACAACCTCCTCTTAAGTACACAAATATTATGAGTTTGCTTAATCAATAAGCGAAGTAATACTTGAAGTATGGCATATTATGATATGGATATTTAAATATCGTCCGAAAACCCATTCATCGAAATATTTTTTCTAGATTAGTATGACTGTCAAATGTCATATCAAAATAGTCATTAATGTTTAATATACGCTTTTCTTTCTTCATTAAATTTTGTGTGCGGAATCAAATTTCTGGTGCCGAAACGTTCAGAATATTGGAGAAGTCCTTCGGTGATCATTTTTTGAGCAAGTGTTTTTGATTGGTATAAATTACTTAAAGAGGGTCTTAACGACAAGCTCTTTCAAGTCGGCCATCAACGTCAATTGATGATCAACACGTAGAGATGCAAAAATGACATCGGTGCATCGGAAACATCGCTGGTTTTTATCCGGTGCATCGAAGATGTTTTGGATCGAATTGTGATTATAATGTGCTTGCACTATTTATAACGTCTTCTAAAGAGTATTTGAATGCATCGTCTTGTGGTAGAGAGGTAATTAATTACCGCTTCCAACTTATTATTAGGCCCATCGAACAGGTAGTTTTCATCTTAATGAAAATCTTTCAGTTTTAGCTATTTCCGCGCTATTGGACCCACGTTTAAAAAAAAGCAATTTCCACGATCCAGCTAGCCTGCGCAAATGTCATCCAAATAGTGAAGTGTCTTATAAATATTAGTCTTAGCGAATACGATATCGAATCCGATTCAGGTAAGTTGGAGTTGGACTTTAGAAGATTTCAGTTTTTGGAGTGACCACCACAATTTAGTGCAAAAAAATTGGAAACCCAATAGAAGCGAGGAAAGCGTTTCCGATGAGCTATTAGTTTACTTAATAGCATTAGTTGGTTGGTTAGATGAAAATCCTTTGTTTATTTGGGAAGACTTTAAATAGCAGTTACAACTGTTTCACTGTGTGTATAAGCACTTAACGATAGTCGCTACTTCTCTGTACTTTCTGAAAGACTTTTTTCAAAGGCTTCTCAAGTGTTAAATTAACAGCGAAATAGACTGCAAGCAAAACATGTGAACAAAATTTTATTTTTCCAAAGCTTGGAAAAAAGGCTGGGATTTATAAATATGTAAATAAACAGCATTCTTTATTGAATAACTTTTATACTCTTGCACCCAGTTGCTATAGAATATTATAGTTTTATTCACCTAACGGTTGTACGTATCACCTAAAACTAAGCGAGATGGATATAAGGTTATGCATGTATCGGGTGATTTTTTAAGAGCTTGATAACTTTTTTAAAAA